CGCAGTGGCTCACGCCTGTAATCCTAGCACTCTGGGAGGCCGAGGCAGGAGGATTGCTCAAGGTCAGGAGTTCGAGACCAGCCTGAGCAAGAGCGAGACCCCGTCTCTACTAAAAAAAATAGAAAGAAATTAGCTGGACAACTAAAAATGTATAGAAAAAATTAGCCAGGCGTGGTGACGCATGCCTGTAGTCCCAGCTACTTGGGAGGCTGAGGCAGAAGGATCGCTTGAGCCCAGAGGTTTGAGGTTGCTGTGAGTTAGGCTGATGCCACGGCACTCTAGCCCAGGCAACACAGTGAGACTTTAAAAAAAAAAAAAAGTCAACAATTAAATATAATAATTATGTCTGATATGTGGGTGTATAAAAAAGGACAGAATTAACATACTTGATAATAATGGCACTTAAGTTGAGAGAGGGCTGAATTAGCACGCAGGTGATCTCAAGTTCTTGTATTGTCCAGGTGAGGGTGTAAAACTTGTTAAGTTAGGTATTCATGGTATAACCTCCAAACCAGTTAAGGGAAAAAATGGAATACTTGGGATTCCAAGGGGAAGAAGGAACCACTACAAAAAAAAAGAAAAGAAAAAAGAAGCATAGAAAAAGTAGGAAAACCAAGAGGCACAAAATAAAGTGATGGAAAGAAATTTATCAACATCAATAGTCCCAATAAATGTAAATGGACTAAAAACCTGGCAGCTGAAAGACCAGGACTGTCAAATTGGATTTGTCAAAAGTCCAACAACTTGCTGTTTAAAAGAGATATAGTTGGAAAATAAAAAAGACTTAGAAAATATATCCCAAACAAATACTAACTGAAAGGAAGCTTCAGGTATAGAAGCTGGAGTGGCTATATTAGTATCAGACAAAGAGACTTTAAGAAAAAGGCATCACTGGAGATCAAAACGGTCACTACAGAATGACACACGGAGGATGTCAGAGAATGACGCAGAGACTACTACACGCAGGCGATCTACTCACACCTACGGGGGAAAACAGCTATTACAGTTTGGGATGATCTGATGAGCTGGCAGCTTCCCACATGCCCAGCCTGGGCAGTCCACCCTCAGCACCTGCCTGGGACAGTTAAAGAAAATACTTTTTTAGTTATTTATGGATTTCCTGGAAAGCCTCAATGTTTGAGCTGCAGAACTCATGTGACCCCACGGCTCTTCCACCAGCTTCCCAGTGTGCACCACTTCCCTCTTCACAAGTTTATCAATTTTTTTTAAATTAGTCTGGCCTATTACATAGAGGCTTGGACAGAAATTGATAGATCTACCATTAGATGGCAAGATTTCAACGTGCCTGTCCCGATTATTAATAGGTCAAGCAGACAAAATCCAAAACAAACAGGAGGCTGTCAGATTTCAACAGCACGATTTATTAACAGGGTGACTTATTGGCCTCATACACAACCAGCCCCCCAGCTCTCAGCACACATTCTTCCTAAGCACAGAAATTGGCCTCAAGGTAGTATTTTAGAAATAAATTAAAAGATAAAACTCCCCATAGGTTTAGACTTTAGATACAAGTAGACACCAAGTGGGTGATGTTGACAGAACGGGGGAATGAATGTCCCACGCTTGGCTGGGCAGGACACACCTCCAGGCAGGTGCTCTGTGGGAGGGAGGAGGTGACAGTCCGTGGGGAGTGACAAGCACCCCAACATCACCCACGCTGCGCTGGCAGACTCACCTGCCACTCAGCAGCTCTCTCCGTCTGTTACACACAACCTTGAAGCATCAACACGAAGCCCTGGGGCAGCAGGGCAGGACGCACCCCAGTGCAGGCTCAGCTGACAGATACTGGGGGGAAGGGGGCTCCTTCCCCAGGCACCCAGCAAGTGGGGTTACAGTGGACAGAGCTGGGCTGAAACGCAGCTCTCGGCCTCAAGAGCTGGCCACCCACCCTGCCCAACCCCAAGGGGGCAAACGTTCCTTCGTACCACCCGGGGACCCAGACTCCTCCCCCAGACCCCGGAGAGCCCCCAGATTCCGCAGGCCTATCTGGGCAGGATGCGACAACCAACCGTCGCCCTCACCGTTCCATCCTAGGCCCAGGATCTCCGCGCTGCATCTGCACAGACAGATCCCAACTCGCCAGCGACCCGGCCAGGCCTCGCCCAGGTCCACAGACCACTCCCAGGGCGAGAAGGGTGTGGGGGAGGGAAGCCGGGACGCTCTGGAGACCGGCAGGACCTCTGCTCAGGATGCCGGCCAGCGAGCCCTTCTAGGGACACCACAGCGGATCTCCAAGGGCAGGGGTCGGACTGAGTTCAGGTATGGGGCGGGGGACGCGTGCGCTCCCGGGTCGGGGCGCCCTGGCACGGCCCCGCCCCTGCACCCACCGCCGGCGCTAAGCCGCCCCGCGCCGACCCCACTTTTAGGATGTCGCGCCTGTTTCCCACCCGCTGGACGGTGCGCTCCTCCCGGGCGGGCCTCGACGGGGACCGTAGGGGGCAGGCGGCGGGGGTGGCGGGAAGAGAGGACGCGGACGGCCCGGCCCGCAGCGCCCCGCCCCCGCGCGACCGCATGGGCCGCCGCCTCCGCGGCTCCCGGGGCTGAGCCGGGCGCGGCCACGAGGCGGCAGCATTGAGGCAACCCGGGCTTCGGCAGGAGGTGAGGACCCCCCCCCAGGCGACCGCCGCCCCCGGGAAGCGTCGGCGCAAAAAGCGCCCAAGGCACCTTTCCCTAAAGCTTCCGTGGGCGCGGCGAGCCCAGCCGCGAGAGGAGTCCCGGAGGGCTTCCCGGAGGCGGAACGTGTGCTCCGAGCCCGGGAGGTCCAGGGCGCCCAGGCGGACAGGCTCCAGGAGGGCGCTCTGCGCCAAGGGCGCGGCCAGGGCCGAACTTGGGGCACAACAGGCTGTAGAGGCGCGGGGTTGGAGGGGCGCGCAACCGGGGTGACCAGACGGCACAGATCATCTGGGGAGCCCGACCTGGAGGGGCCAGGCTCGGGGTGGGCGTCTGGGGGGAGGGGAGAGGCTGCGTGAGGCCGCCTCCTCTCTGCTTCCAGGCAAGCAGAGCACGGGGTGGGTGGAGCCAAGGATGAGGACCCCTGAGTACCGTCGCTGTCGCCATCGTTGGCTGCGACTCCACTGGGTGTCGTCTCCAGAGCCAGTGGCCAGGAAAGGGTCAGGGTGGCAGGGGTGAGGTCCCCACCCTGGCACTGAGTGTGTGTGGGCGGGAAGCTGCCGCAGGCCCCCTAAAGCTGGGGTTCACATCCCCATTGTGTGACGCTGGGAGCTGCCCATCCCCCAGACCCTCCCGGCACCATGGGAACAGACTGCCCACCTCCCCGGGCGGCCATGCCCAGGACCCGCTGCTGAGGGCCATGGCCAAGTCAAGGACAGGAGACTGGCAGCTCTCCTGACGACCCCAGGGACAGACCCAGGGCTCCTAGGGGGTGTGGGGCTGCAACTGGAGAGCGCAGGGCTGGCCCACCCCCACCAGCCTCCTTAGCTCCACTGCGAATTTATTAGGGGACCCAGGGGGCCTGGACAAGTCCGCAGGGTTCTCGACTGCCCTCCTACTGCCACCATCCACTCAAACGTCCCCTCACGCCGGCTGGTCCGCAGAGCCTGTGCCCAGGCTACAAGAGGTTCACCTTGGCCACCACCTGCTTGCAGCCAGTGACCGCAAACTCACGGTCGGCAACCCGGTAGTAGCTGAGCTGCGTGGCCAGGCGCTCGGCGCGGGCCTGCTCCGGAAAGAAGCCCTCGCCGGCCATCTCGTCGCGGAAGCAGCTGACCACGTCCCGCTTGTCCAGCAGCAGGAAGGGCACAATGGCCGCGGCCTGCCACAGCGGGTGGTCGCGCGCCAGGAGTGCTCGCAGGCTGGCGCGCAGGTCCTCCTCGGCCTGTGCTGCTGCGGCCCCGGCCCCATGGGCGCCGTCGGGGCGCAGGGACAGCGCGCGGGACGCGTTCTGCAGCACAAAGCGCGTGATCTCGGCGCCCCCAGCGCGGCTGAGGAGCACGTAGATGGCGTTGTGGAAGTGGTGGGAGCGCTGCGGCTGCAGGAAGCTGTGAAGCTCGTCCAGCAGCGGCGGCGGCATGAGCTCCACCTCGTCCAGCACCAAGAGTGGGGTCTTCTCCTCCGCCTCGGCCCGCGCCACCACGTCGGCCACGCGCCGCGCCAGCTCCTCGCGGCAGTCCTGCGGGGCGCGCGGCTCGGGGCAGTGGTGCCCCGCGTGGTACTGCAGCACGAGCGCTCCGTCCTCGAGCACGGCGCGGAAGTGGCGTGCCAGCAGGCGGCCCACGTGGCTCTTGCCCACGCCGCTGGGCCCGTGCAGCGCCAGGAGGAGCGGACGACTGTGCACGTGCGTGGCCAAGTAGTCTCGCATCAGCGCCACGATGCGCCCCACGGCGGCCGGCTGGCCGAACACGGTGCGCTGCAGTGTCTTCTCCAGCCCGTCGAGGTCGTAGCGCTGTGCGTTATCGTCCAGGTTCTCGATGGCGTTGAGTACCTGGAAGCCCACGATGGCGACGAGCAGCAGCAGGCAGCGCTGCGCGCGGCTCCTGCGCTCCACTCGCGGCCGACATTTGCGTGAGGTCTCCGGGTAAAGCACCACGCGGCTGCGCCGGCGCCTCTTGCGCGGCGTCCTCGAGGACAGCTCCACCGGGCCATCGAAGGTGAAGAATTGTGGCTGGTCTAGGTTTGCGTGCGACGCCCCGGAGCTGCAGCCCAGCCTGGGCGCCCCGCTCCCGGCGACGGGCCCCGCGCCGGGCGGCAGGAGGCGCCGCTGGCGCAGGACGCACACCCGGCGGCGGAGGCGGAGCACGGCGCGCACGGGCGCGATCACACACGGACCCGAGGCTCGGGCGGCCGCGGCCGCGGGTTCCAGGCTGGGCTGGCCGCGGTCCATGGCGCAGGAGCGCGCTGGGCATGCAGATCGCCCTCCCTGCAACAGGAAGACGAGGAGGGTCTCTGGACTCCCGCCACGGCCTCACCCCGCAGCCGCCGCCGGGTGCCGGCTGGAGCCCTCCCCGAGTGATCTTACCCCGGGAGCCCCGCGGGGTGCGGCCTGGGCTGCTCCGGCCAGCGCCTGGCTCCGGCCTCGCCCGCTGACCGGGAAGCGGTTCCTCCGCGGGCCCCAATGCAAATCTCTCAGGTCCTCCGATAAAGGGCCGCGGGCCCTGAGGAAGTGGCTGGGGTGGCTTGGGGTGGGGGTGCAGCTTATCCGCGGCCGACCCGCTTCCTGGAGGCGGAGTTCAGTGGCCGACCATGTGCCAATTAGGGTGAAGAAAGGTCAGGCCGGACCCAGCCCCCACCCGCAGCTCCGACTGGACCGTGGCCCCAGGAGCACCCCCGGGAGTTCAAAGGCGCCCCCTACACACTCAAGAACACTTGAGGGGGGTGTCTGGCCAGAATTGAGGATTGTGAGAATGGGCCCCAGGCCTGTCCCTTGGTTCAGCCCAGGCCTCCCAGCACCCCCCAGTCGCCCACGCCAAAACCGGGGTCCTGCCAATACTAACAGGGCAGCGGCTGCGGGCGGAGGTGGACAGAGAGAAGAGCCCCAGCAGGCAGGGAAGGGACCCCCAATGGCAGGGGCTGGCCTGGGCCCCCGCCCCCAGCCCACCCCAATACCTGCAGCAGCGGCTCCCCCTAGCTCCACCGCCCCCTGCCCGCACCAGGCGCTGGGGCCTGTGGCTCAGGAAGCAGGAAATGCCAGGCTCCCTGGGAGGGTGTCACGGGCCTCCTGGGCCAGCTCAGGCCTGGAGGGGGCAGCAGCACCTGCGGGTCCCCAGGGAGCATCGGGGCAGAGGAAGCTCTGGGTAGGTTTCCGCTTCTGTGCAGAGGAAGTGAGTCAGGGGGTGCGGCCAGGCGGGACTTGGGCTGGACGGAGGCGCCAGAGGGGGAGGCCGAGCTGCCCTGGCCAGCAAGTCACCTCCCCTCTGTGCTCTCCACGCCCAGTCCAGGCTCCTCCCGCGTGCCCTGCTCCACACCTGGGCTCCCTGCACTCGCGCTGTCCTCCAGGGACCACCACTCGCCCTGGACATCTCCTCCGGCCCTGACCCACCCCCACAGGGCAGGAGTGGAAGGGCAGGCAGGGTCGTGCTAGTGCTCGGCCGAGAGCCCCCCAACGGCCTCCCTTATTCTCTGCCCCCTTTCTCTTCCCTCCTCTGACCCTGATCTGGGGCCTCAGACGAGGGCTTATTTCCTTTTTCTCCACCTTCCTCTGTCCCTCAGCTTGGAGCTCCCTGCCCAAGACAGGACAGCACACGCTGGGACAATGTTCTAGAACTGGGAATTGACCCTCGCATGTGGCTCAGGGTCCCTGTGGGCGTTGGGAAGCAAATTTAGAAAGAACCTGGGCCAAGAGTAGGTGCTCGGACCCTTCCCACCCCCCACTTGCCGGTGGCCCCACCCCCACGCCCGTCTCTGCACTGGTGGTCCCTGCTCCTTCCAAGGCTGGCCGGGGCCATTCAGCCAAGCCTGGCCCCCCAGCCCGTACTGCCCCTGCCCACCCTCCCCGCTGCGGAGCCTGGGCCCCTCCTGCTGCCACACCTTGGCCACCCTGGACTTCCTTCCAGGCTCTGCTCACCTCCCTGCACCCACCCAGCAGGGAAAGTCCACTGTGGGCCAGGGCTGTCCACTCTCTCCAGGGTGTGGGGTCCGAAGGCTTGTCTGTCCCTGCTCCCCACAAGCCCAGCTCCCTGGGGCGAGGAACCACAGGCTCCCTCCGGGAGGCAGGCCTGGTGCCCAGGGGCCCGCTGCCGCACCCTGTGCGGGGCTGGGTGCTTGAGGACTTCCACCCCTGGTTCTCAGGGCATGCCCATGGCGCTGCAGCCTGGGACCAGGACGGAGGAGGAGGCTGGGAGTCTTGAGAGAACAGTCCCACAGGCAAGGCCTGGGGGAGAGGCGAAGGGTCTGTTCAGGGAAGAGGCTAAGGACACGGTCGTGTGTGTGGAGGTTGGGCTATGAATCCTGGGGGAGCAGCAGAGCTGCGGCTGGGTGGGCAGGTGGGAGGGAGGCCTCCCAAAACGGGGGTGCCGGGTGCCCAGGGCTCAGATCCCCCCTTGACCCACGAGGGCAGGCATCAGCTCCTCCAACCCCGCCTCGCCCTGGTGACGGTGCTGGGCTGGGGACCCAAGGGTTTGGCGGGTTGGCCGCTGGCAGAGGCAGCCCTTGGCCCACCTGGAAACAGGCCTGCCCCCTTCCCACAGCTCTCCCAGGGCCCCTGAAGGACCCCCAGCTCCGTGCTGGGGCCACAGGGCCTGGACGGCCAGCTTCCCGCCTGCACAGCCTGCACCTGGACGAGGCCGGAGGAGCCCAGCCGCAAGGACCAGTCTGTCCACCTTGACCGTGAGCCGCAGGGCCCAGGGACCACACAGGGACCACACCAGGTGGGCTGCTCCTCACACCTCCGCTTTGCTCCTTGTCCACTCCCCTGCACACCTCCACCCTGCCCTGCCTCTCAGCCCAGACTGAGGAAACAGAAGCTGCTGGAAGGGGACGAGGAACGCACCGCCAGCCCGCCTCCTTCCCCGAGGACGGCCCTCTGGCTCACGCGCTGATCTAGCCACCCCACAACGCTGTCCACTTTCTACCCTGCCAGCTCATTCTCACCAGCCTAGAAACATGTATTTCTTCCGCCTTAAAAGAAAAACCAAAACATGCACTCTTGCCCAAGCACCCACACCACACCCCCTTGCTTCTCACACGGTTTCCAGGCTTCTCCTCCCCCTACCGCCCCCCACGGCTGACCCCCACACAGCCTGACCCTCCTCCCTGGGCTGCTGAGATGCCCCCATCAGCTGCCCACCCCCCGGCCCTGCCTGGTGGGCAGCCCAAAGCCTCACCCGCCAGGTCTCATGCTTCAGGCACCACAGGCCAATGATGTGAGACCCACACCCTAGCCGTCTCCTGTGCTCAGAACCCCACTGCAATGCCTGTCCAGCGCCACCAGCCCCGATCGTCCTGACAGCCCACCAGGTAAGTTCCCATCTGTCTGGAAACCCTACGGCCCTGCCTTCTAACCACGCGCAGAACCCACGTGCCGGCCTCCCCACAGCCAGGCCAGGCCAGCCTCTCCATCCTGGGTGGCCCCACACTGTCTGTGCCCCCTGCTCCCACCAGAGCCCTCAGCCTGGGACTTCCCTGCCCACCCTGGAGCTCTCAGAGAAGACACCACAGGGCAAACCAAGGCACGACCTGGCGGTGCAGACCACGAGCCCCAGGCAGGACTTCCCATGCAGCAGAGCCCAGAGGGTCCCGAACTCGCCCACCTCTCCCGACCCAGCACTGTGGGGTAGGCTTATGTCGTGTGCATCGGCTCCCGACTTACTCAGCCTTGGCAGGTGTCCCTGAGGAGACAGCAGAGTGCGCCATGGGGCGTCTTCCCCTAGGCCACCCAGGGAATGACACCGCCAACTGCCACCCAGCTGAGTGGTCTCTTCTGCTCAGAGCAGCTCCAGCTCTGCCCATGACCTTGAGCTCATCCTTGGCCCTCCTGGGGGTTCACAGCCCCTCATCTGTGCGGGGGGAGGGGCTGCTCACCTGCCCTCAGTGTGGAAACAAAGGAGCGTCTGCAAGGCCCTGCGGGGGCTTCCTACAGCCTCCCAAGAGCGGTCACCTGCCAAGCAGTCCAGAGACTGCGGCCCACAACGCTGAAGGCCCCATAGGAACGCTGCGTCCACCGCCAGCACAGAGACATGTCATCCGCAGGATTTACCAAAATGCCTTTTATTTACATAAACGAAAATTTCATGTGTGCACCAGCTGCCCCCACGTGGCAGGTCGAGAAGGTGCAGCTGAACGAGGAGAAGCACTCAGCTCCAAAGGTAAACCGAGGCAGCACGTGGGGGCCTGGGCTTTCTTTGCCATGCCTGCTACACACCTGCTACGTGGGCGCTCTGGGAAGGGAGGCTGCCCGGGGGCCTTCGGTCAGCGGGACCTTCCGCCACGGCGCGGGCCAGGCTCGAGGCTGCGCCCGCTCCACGGCAGGAACAGTGCCATCTCCGCAGCCCCGCGGCCGGAAACCCTGGGCTTCTGCCAGGTTGTGCCAACATGGTGGCACCACCCTCCCCTTGTAGCCTCCCCGGGAGGCTCCACCCCTTGTCAACCCAGGCCCCGCCCTTGCCCCTTGGAAAGCAGATGGCTTTTCCTAATCCCTGCCACTGCCATCTGTCTCTGCTACGGCCACGCAAACCCAGGGTGCACAGCAGGTGTGACGAGCTTTCCGTGCTGTGCAAGGACAAGCAGGCGTCGTGCTCCCCGCCAGCCAGGGCCCTGGGGCAGGCACGTGGGTCCCACGTGTGGCCGGCAGCGCCCCCAGCCCGGGGAGCAGCCGCTGCCTGTACTATGTGTGGGTCCAAGGGCAGCCTCTTCTCCGGGCTGTCCAAGACACGCCCCAGGAGGGGCCCCCACTCCCGAGCAGCCCCCAGAGGAGCCTCAGAGTCCGGCCGGGGCGGGCGCGCTGGGGAGGGGCAGCTCCAGGGTAGGCGTTTCCGCAGCCTGGGCTGGGCTGGGCTTGCGGTGGTCCAGCTGCTCCAGCTTCTCGCCGAGCTGGGAGTACAGTTCCTTCACGGCCTCTCCACTCTGCAGGGAACCCACAGTTAGGGGGCGGCAGCGCGCACAGGGTGGACCCCACGGTCACACGGAAGATCGCGCCCCCCAGACACCAACGCGGCCAGGGCCGGAGGCTGGTGCTGAGCGGGCACGTCAACTCGCAAAGCCCCGGGGGGGCACCCACCTGGCCTGTGGGCTCCAGGGCCTTCTGCAAGGCCTCCAGCTTGGACGGGGCCACCCTGGGGTGCAGGTGGAGGAGCAGCCGCAGCACGTGCCGGTGCACATTCTCCTTCCTGGGGGGTGGGGGGGCGGCCACAGACCTGGCTTCCTTCCCAGGCCCTGCCGCCCGCAGGCGGGCACAGCCTCTGAGACAGGGCCCGCCCCAGCCGTGCCCGGGCACCCTGCAGGGCCAGCACAGGCACCCCTGCGGCCCCTCTCTGCAGGACGGGAAACCAGCTACCTCCCAGGGTGCCGTGGACAAGAACGGAGAGCAGAGCCGGGCCCCGCCGTGCCCAGCTGGCCCCGGCCCGCGCGCCTACCTTGGTGAGGCCGCGAGGAAGAAGCCATCGAAGAGGCAGCTGCAGAAATCCTCCAGGGCAAATTCGTCAGCCAGCAGCGCAAGGTTCCCCGTGAGCAGGTGAAGGAAGATGTCACTGAAGGCCAGGTCACCAAAGGTCTCCACTGCAACCAGAGCAGGCGTCGGCCGGGCCCCACCCCCGAGCAGGCGACCTCTGCCCTCAGGGATTTGCATCTGGGGAGACCGTGCGCACTCCTGGGGTGCTCAGACGGGGTTCTCAGTTGACCTGAGGTCAGAACAGGGTCTTGGCAGGTGAGGAGGAGAGTTCAGTAGACAGACGGGAAAGGGCCTGGCCAGGGGTGGAGGAAGCAGGGCTGAGCCCTGAGGGGGAGGCGAGGGCTGGAGGAGGACTCTCCCCCTCCCTCAAGGCTGTGCCACGGGACTCTGGACTAAACTGACGTCAGAAGACAGAAAACCCGAACAGACCACTAACTAGAGAAGCAACACAGGGGAGCGCCAAAGCTCCGGTCTCGAACGAGCTCTACCGAACCACCATCTCAATTATTCCACAGGAAAGACAACGAAGAAAAATGTCCAAATTCTTTTTGTGAAGCCAGACACCAAACACAACAGAGGTCGCAAAAGTACCCAAAGATGAGTCAATCTCTCTCTCTCTCTCTCTCTCTCTCTTTCTCTCTCTCGACCAATGGCACGAAAGCCAAAGCCACCCAGAGCCTCGAGGCACGCAGGGTCACCTGCAGGGACGGAGGACAGTCCCTCCCATCGACTGATGCCAGAAGGAGCCCGGCCAGGCCACATGGGTGGGGGGTACAGATGCACACGGGACATTTCTCAACACCCAGGAGCAGCAGCCCTGGACAGGGGACTTCGTGAGGACAGTTCTGGCCGACGCCACTTGCACCCACAGAATGCCCAGAACGTGTCAGGGAGGCCGGGCCCCTCCAAGAGGCACCCCTGCAACACAGCTGACCGGTCTCAGCCACCTGAGGGCCAGCGTGGTCACAGGGTGTTCAGGCAGACACCTGGTCCTGACCAGCAAGATCCCATCCCGTAAGTGCCCCGATTCCTCCAGCAAGTCCAAGTCCCCGGGGTTAGAAGAGGCACGAAGTCAGTGCCAGCAGCAGAGGTGGCCCCACTCCAACCCTGATTTGTTCTTTTTCCTTTCAGAGTCGAAAGTCTCACCCGGTCGCCCAGGCTGGAGTGCAGCAGCGTCATCAGCTCACTGCAGCCTCGAACCCCGGGCTCGAGCATCCTCCCGCCCCTGTCCCAGTAGCTGGGACTCAGGTGCGCCACCGCCGCGCCTGCTCTCCAATCCTGATTTGAACCATTGGCACAAAAATGTCATGAGACCATCAGGGAAATGTGGCCACTGCTGGGCATTTGGCACAAAGAAACTGGTGACCCCGACTCAGATGTGAGCACGGTCTGCAGCCACTTTTTAAAAGTCTCCTTTTGTAGAGATGCCTCCTGAGTGCTTGGAGCTGGCACGTTGAGACGTCTCGGATTTATGCCCAGACGTCACCCTGAGAAGCAGCGACCCCACGGAGGCTGGCTATCACCCTGGGTCTTCACCATACTGTACTGTTTTTCCATTTGTTCAGAAATTCCCACCATAAAAGTAAAAAAATAAACAGGAAACAATTCTAAAAATCGACATCTGTTCTTACTAGAACTCACTAAAAATGTAAGAATAAGCGAGCTCTTCCCCAAAGGTGATTAGAAAGACACATGCTGGCCGTGGGGCAGCAAAGCCGTCCTGGGGGACACCGACGCCCCCGCCAAAGGTGGGACAAACCACACGGCTGTTTCTAGCCTGTTTCCAGCCACCACAACTAGACGGGAGAAAGAAACAAGGACAGTCGCGCACGGACTAACGACGGGGACGTTCTGAGAAACGCGTGGTCAGGCGATTCCGTCCTTGCGAGAGTGTGACGCGCACAGAGTTCGCACAGACCCGGTGGCACAGCCTGCAGCCAGCCAGCTCCTGGCTACACACCTGTGCGGCACGTTGCCGCACTGAACACCGTCAGCAAGCGGCACGGCTGAGTATTCGTGCCTCTAACACAGAAAAGATACAGTAAAATGCGGTGGGTGATCTCCCGGACCAGCACGGTTCTGCAGCCCATCACGGGCCCCAACAGCACGTGGCCGATGACAGTGCTGAGATGAGCGGAAGAACAAGGCGATTCAAAGTCACTTACTCTGTGTCCTTACAAGTCTCAAAACACAGACCAGCTGCCCTGTGCACAGCAGGAACGGCTCTCCCTGGAGCCTCCAAGAGGAACCGGCCCACTCATCCATTTTGGCCCCAGGAGCCTCAGTCAGACCTCTGACCTCTAGCACTGCAGGATGACGTTTGTGTTGTTTTTGCCGCTAGGTCTGTGGTAATTGGTTCCAGCCACAGGGAATTAACGCCAGGCTAAGAGTGCTTGGCTGGACGGCGGCTGGGTACAGATTAGCGCCCCCGACAGCTTCCTCCACACAGAACCTGGAGAGCAGATGCATGTGGCATCCTCAAACACCAGTGACCGGGAAGCACGCCTGACAAGTGCCGTGGTCTGACCACGTTCCCCAAGTTCACGCGCTGGAAACCCGACCCCGGCCCAGCGTGCAGAGAGCTGGACCTTTCAGAGGTGATTAGGTCACGAGGGCTCCGCCCTCACGAAAGGATTAACGTGGCCATCTGGGGAGCAGGTTCCCGATAAAAGGATAAGTTTGGCCCCTTTCTCCATCTGTCTCTGCCCGTTTCTTAATGCCTCTCTGTCTCTGCATATCTGTCTCTTAATGTCTCTGTCTCTGAATGTCTCGCTGTCTGTCTCTCTGTCTGTTTCTTTGTCTCTCTCTGCCCTGCCCCCCTGTGCACCCTAACTTGCCCTGCTGCCTTCCACCTAGGATGACGTAGCAAAAAGTGCTTCACCAGATGCAGCCACTTGACCTTGGACTTCCCAGTCTGCAGAACTGTAAGAAATCTGTCTTTACACACGAACCTGTCTTGGCTATTCTGTTATAGTAGCACAAAATGGACCAAGCCAGCAAAAAACCTGTAAAATCTTTCTGAAGAAACCTCCAAATCCCTGAGTCAGCAAGACCCCAGGGCCTGTGTCATGGTGAGGACACAGAATGCGGCAGAGGTCCCATCTCCCCAACAGGACCTGTGTTACTCTTGAAGGGGTCCACTTGGACCCTTCCCTCTTCTTCCTGACTTGCAACGACCCGTCCCCGCTAGAGGCTCCCAGGGGAGGTGGGCTTGCCACTGCCTTGAGGGGCTGGGACATGAGCTTTCTCCATCCTCTGAACCTTGCTGCCAGTCCAGACAAAATAAAGGTGGTTGCTGCATCACCTTTTTGTGGGAAAGAACTAGAAGACCCAGGGAGGAATCTGAAAAAACAGCACTGAGCCCCCCCTCACTTCCCTACTAAAGTAAACTGCAGACAAAAACTTGAAGGTGAAAACCAAGCTAGCAAAATCACAGGCGGAGATAGGAAGAGGGGCCATCTGTGACTCCTCTGGGGCCCCAGGGCCCCTCGCCGGCGGGTGCAGGAGCTGGGCATCCCGGTGGAGACTCACCAAGCCCAGGCAGCAGTCGGAGGAGCGCGTTCTTGTTCCTCTGCTTGGTGACATGCAGGACGTAGTACAGCCCCACCTCGCAGGCCATGCGCTGCTCCTGCAGAAACCTGCCCGAGGGGTCGGGGGCACAGTCAGACCTGCCCAGACCCCGCCCCGCCCCACGGCAGCCCCACCCAGACACCCCTTCCCGCCTGCTCCCCTCAAGCCGCTGTCAGCCGTACTTAGTGAAACTCTCAGGAAGGGTGTTTGGGTACGTGATGGGGGCCTTCTCCTCGGCCGGAAGCTTCTGATCCACGTTGAAGGTGTGGTCGTCCACCACAAAGGACATGAGCATCGGCAGGAACCTGGTGATGAGCTCCACCTCCTGGAGGCAGGGAGCCCGTGGGCTGCAGACCTGCCCCATCCCCCACCGCAGCCCCACGCCCCACTTTCCTGGTCCCCAGGTCCCTCCTTCCCACCTCCTGAGACCCCCACCCAGTGCTGTCTCCTCGAACTCCCAACCTGGCCGTGAGCTTGGCTGCCCACGTGAAGCCCCTCCTGGGCTGGGTCCACCTGGAGTAGCGGCCACACCATGGCCAGCCAGTCCCCGGAGATGCCCCAGGACACCCCAGCAGGCATTTTCCCAAAAGGACGGTTGGTGCCTCCAGGAAGGAAGCTTTGGGACCAAAAGGGCCTCAGAAACGCCCAGCCCGCCCTCCACTCCCCACTACAGCCCGCGGCCTCTCCTGGGACAGTGGTCGGGCCCACAGGGGTCACGTTACCATCTTGGGCTCCTTGAAGACCTGGCTGTCGATCATGTCCCAGGCGCCCTGGCCCAGCGCCAGCAGCCGGAGCAGCAGGAGGAGGTCGGGGCTGTCCTGCAGGAGCGGCGGCCTCAGCACCCGCCGCCAACGTCCTGGGCTCTGACCCCACTTGTTACCCAGTGGGGTCTCTGGCGCCCAAGGCCACGATATACCAACCTCACGAGTGGCAAGTGTGGCCTTCACCTGGGCCGTCGCAGTGTGGCCACAAGAGCCCACGCCCACACGCCCACCCAGCGGCCACCGAGGAGTGTGCGCTCACCCTGGGCAGCGTCTCCTGGCCGACCAGCTCCTGCAGGTGTCTGATGGTGCTCAGCGCCAACGTGTTGATGGCAAACGGGTCGCACAGGATCATGGACAAGTCCCTGAGAGGAACCGGCCCTCAGCATGAACCCGGGAAGCCCGGCCGCCCCCAGGGACCTCGGGGACTGGCTCCAGAGAGCCAGCCTCTCCGCACAGAGCAGGCCAGTTCCATCCTGGATTTCTTTCAAAGAAAAGCTTACGGTTCATAATTTATCTTTAACTTACTCAAATATCTTTCACACTAAAGAGTTAAGAAGTCAAAAAAAAATTAAGGTCACATTTTGGTTCTGAAATCCTGACTCGGACTCTATCAGATTCAGCCAGGGTCCTCCAGAGACAATTCTGACAGGCAAAGTGACTGGGGTGGCACCAGGCAGCACTTGCGCTCCTACCCTCAGCTTGCAGGCAGGGACGCCAGAGCCCAGCCCTGGGCCCCAAGCTGGGCGGGGGGTGGGGTGGGGGGGGAACGGGGGGACTACCCAGACTCATTCCGCACAACCGTCCCCCACAGTGCCTGGCAGCACTCCTAAAGCTGCAACACCCCGCAGTGACCCACGGCGGAAGCCAAGTGCTCCGCCGGCGGCCCCGGGGCCAGGACCCGTGGAAGCAACCCTCACCCGAGGACCTGCTCCTGGCCCTTCTTCACTCCGTCGAGGAAGCCCTGCAGCTCCCGGGCTCGCTTGCTGTCCACAAACCGCTCTCGGATGCAGGCGTCCAGGCACCAGGTGAACTGCGGGAAGCACCGTGAGGACATGGCCGGACCCCCAGGATGGCCAGAGACTGAGGCCCTCGCCTCTCACTCAGGCGCAGGCCACCGTCCCGCCGACCACAGAGAGCACTCCCCATGCCTCGCGGCAAAAGCAGCAAGGGTCAGGGCGCACAGTGAGGAGGCGACCCTTGTTTTTTCTGAAGAGGGGCTCCTCAAGGCACCCCCAGCGTGGGGCGGCCACTGCAGCCCTCCAAGCAACGAAAGGCTGAGCATGTGACACCAGAGTCCCTGGGAGCTCTGGGGCAGGGGAGGGCCAGAGGCAGGCTGGAAAGTTGGGAGGAGGCCAGGGCAAGGGTCCAGGTGTGGCTGCAGCCCTGCGCCCACTGAAACAGAGAAAGGGCTGGAAGAGGCGAGAGAGTGTCACAGGGACAGCCAGGTCTCTGGCTCAGATGCCATGGACAACACCCACCAGGGTCTGCGGAGGTGCCGAGGGGCCGGCACACAGCACGATGGGTGCATGGAGCCGGAGGGGAGGAGAGAAGCCAGGAGCAGGAGGGCGAGGGTGGCGCTACCTTGTGGCAGGGGTCCACGGTGCAGATGTCGCCCACGTCCAGGTCGTGCAGGGACATGAGCAGCTCAGCCCGCAGCGTGCAGTAGTGCACGTTCCTCGTGCGTAGGAAGAGCGTGCGCAGAAACTGCAGCACCATGTCGTACAGCTTCACGCTCTTCCCCACCATCTGCGTCAGCCTCCGCACCACCTGGCAGCGAGACCAGCCGTCAGGCCCCGTCCCGAGGAGGGTACACAGCCATCACACAGAGCCCGAGGACAACTGTCCTTCCTACGTGTTTCGGTATAAAGTGTTTCCTCCTCTTGGTGAGATGCTGGCACCCTGTCCGATCATGGCAGGTCTGTTATTTTTAAAGTGCTGACTCCACATCAGTCCCCATGGTTCTCTGAAAAGCCACTGGTCTATGACCCGATGTGACCCCTGCCGGTACCCCAACCCCTTGCCTGCGAAGTCAGGTGGAGGCCAGGCCCAGAGGCAGCTGTGAGAGAAAGTTGTCAGTTGCCAGCAGGGGGCAGACTCGGGCCCAGAGGAGGACACACAGCCAGGATGCCGTGGCCTGGGGGCCTGGGCCAGGGCCTGTGCAGCCTCACTGCCCTTCCCTCAAGCCTGCCCACCCCAGCCCAGACTGGCTCCCTCAGCTCGAAGCTGCGTGGCCACCTCTGGTCCCACGACCAGCACCCAGGGCCACAGAGCAGAGGACAAGCCCCCCAGAGTCTGGAGCACAAACACCAACATGCAAGTCCCCTCACCACTGAAGGGCTGTGCAGGGACACAGTGCCCAACCCTTGGCAGGGGTCACCCACCTCACCCCTCCTCTGACACGGGACTCTCAAGAGATTCCCGTCCTGCTGCGGCAGCTGACCAAGGAAGCTCCACTCAGCTGCTAGCTGGCCTTGGCTAACAGCCTTCGGCCCACGCTGCGAAAGACGCTCAGGGCAAGCCCAGGACGGTGGACACAGCAAATGCCCAACAGGCACCAGGCTGGACACAGCAAGTGGCGAGGGCAGCAAGGGGGGCAGGAGCCAGTGGCTGGCCCAGCAGTTCACCCTCGAAGGCCCCTGCCACGGACTCTTGCCAGCAGGTCTCAGGGACCCGATGGGCTGATCTGGCCTGTCTCAGGGACCTACACTCACCTCACAAGTGAACAACCCACCCGTAGGCCAGCTGGGTACAGAACCCACAGCCCAAACAACTGACCCACACCCCAGGACCGCAAGGCAGTGCGTTACCCGGCCATCACAGCACTGGAAAACCACAGCACACCAAGAATAGTGACTGAAGTTTCCAGAAAGAAAGGCCACCAACCAAGTAATGAGAATCTGAGCAGCTTCAGACCCATCTGCAAAAGCAGATGCCTGGAAACAGTGAGAAAAGCCTTCGAAATTTTGAAACTACAATTCTAAATTTAGCCAAACGACTGTGAAGTCTAAACAAAATAAATTTCAGGTGCGTTAGCACTCTGAACGCTTTCATCAAGGTTTTTTTGAGGATGTACCCCAACAAAAAGAGGATGAAACCAAAAAAAGAAAGTTGAGAAATACAAAAAACAGTGTGATGAGTGCAGCACGTTGCAGGTGGGCGCGGTGGTGCTGCCTGCAGTCCCAGCTGCCTGCCAGGCTAAGGCGGGAGGATCACTGGAGCCCAGGAATTCATGACCAGCCTGGACCATATAGCAGGACACCACTCAAAAAAAAAAAAAAAAAAAAAAAACCCACAGTGTAGGCCACCGGCTAAGCAGCAGACCCAGAAACAGCCCATCATGTGAGAGCAGAAAGTCCAGGAAGAATGTGAGGTCCAGGACAGAGGGGAGAGCTGAAAGCTGGGACAGGGAAGAAACCAAAGGACCATCAGAAACCTCAGGGAAGACAACCCGGGGGACCACCGCCCTCCATGTGAGCAGCAGATGGGAATACTGCAGCGCCACGTCCGGTCTGAGAGAGGCCAGCGTCGTGACATGACCTGGAGACACAAGCCCCATAGTGGGGGCCTCAGACAGGGGCAGTGACCAGCAACATGCAGGGCAGTGATGCACCTGGGGCCAGGGCAGCGCCCACTGCAAAAGGGGAGTGGGGGGACTGGGAAGGAAGCTTCTCCCTGAAAACCTTTCTGCTGTCCTAGATGTTCTATGATTTGTGTTTCTTATGTGTGTAAAACATAACTGTGAGAGAGGATCAACCCAGGACAAAGCAGATCACAGTGGCACTAAGCCACTGGGACAGGAGGTGGGAAAAGGGCAGCATGCAGAGGCTGAGGGCTCTGTCTGACAGCAGCGGAAGGAGAAAGGGGCCTATGAAGGGTCTGAGCTGGGAACAATCAGGAGGGTGGAAATAGCCACCACCTGCCCCCCAACCCCAACAGCCACCGGTGCGTGGCCAGGACCCTTCCTGCCCAACTGGAGCCACGAGCCACACCTGACTCTTCAGAGTTTGAAATCTGACAACTGAGATGTGTTGTAAGTGTGAAAGATACATCTGATTTCAAAAACTTAGTGACCACCAATGAAAAAGCATCATAACTCAATAATACGCTTTCACGTCGATTACGTGCTGAAAAATATTACTCTGGCTACACTGGGCTAAAGAAAACATATTAAAAGCCACAGTGATGGCTCACACCTGGCATCCCAGCACTTTGGGAGGCTGAGGCAGTAGGATCACTCGAGCCCAGGAGTTGGAGGCTGCAGTGAGCTGCGCTCGTGCCATTGCGCTCCAGCCTGGGCAACACAGTGAGACCCTCTCTCTAAAAAATAAATACATAAAATTTACCTCATCTATTCCTTCTTTTTCTTCTTAACGTGGATACTAGGAAATTTTAAGTAACTCCTATAGCTGCTTCAACTTCTTCTCCAGAATCTGCACGACACCACAGGCCTCCTGTGAGTGGTGCCTGTGTCCCTGCGTCTCCCTCAGACAGGCCCAGAGGCCTCAGCTCCCCACAGAGACTTTATACTGAATGGTGCTAGTACGAAATTAGCTAATTAGGAAATCTCGATATAAAAAAACCCAATAGGCCAGGCGCGGTGGCTCACGCCTGTAATCCTAGCTCTCTGGGAGGCTGAGGCAGGCGGATTGTTTGAGCTCAGGAGTTCGAAACCAGCCTGAGCAAGAGCGAGACCCCATCTCTACTAAAAATAGAAAAAAATTAATTGGACAACTAAAAATATATAGAGAAATTAGCCGGGCATGGTGGCGCATGCCTGTAGTCCCAGCTACTCGGGAGGCTAAGGCAGAAGGATCACTTGAACCCAGGAGTTTGAGGTTGCTGTGAGCTAGGCTGACGCCACGGCACTCACTCTAGCCTAGGCAAAAGAGTGAGACTCTGTCTCAAAAAAAAAAAAAGCCAATAACTGCAAATTGGAGTTTAGAATAATGCCAATGTTACTAATGGGTGAAACCTTGAACACTGTCTTCTAAAGAATAAAAAATGAAGAACTCAATTTCAACCACATTAACAAGTTATTTAAACATTTGAAAGTTTAAGAATCAAACAACTTGCTGTTTAGAAGCAGGAGAGCAGTTGTCACTTTTCATTAAAAGCCTTTCTGTAGATTTTAACATTCTTCACGCATCACTTTTCGAAAAGCAAAATACAAACACAAAAACCAGCAAGCTTCCTTCCAGCCCCGCATACAAGCCCCCTCCTTCAGGAGCAGAACGGCCCAAACACGCAAGGACAGCAGGGCGTTGCTCCCCAGGCAGCTAAGGGGCTGCCGCGGGTCGGCGCCCTCCCTCACCTCGCCCTGGCGCCTGGTCTTGGGGGAAGGACTGAAGAAGTTGTGCAGGACGGAGAGCTCCGTGCTGAAGAGCGCACTCTCCTTCTCCAGGATGTACTGCTTCAGCAGTGGGGAGACCTCGTCCCCAAAGAGTGCCTGGTTGTCCTGCCAGATCTGCCGCTTCACCTCCACGGCGCAGGCTCGGTACAGCTCCTTGTCAGCCATCACCAGCTTCAGCTTCTTCTCAGGAACCTGCAGGACACCACAGGCCTCCTGTGAGTGGTGCCTGTGTCCCTGCATCTCCGTCAAGACAGGCCACAGAGACTGCCTCGAACGCAGCCCCACCGGATAGGGGCATCTAGGACCGGCACCCCAGGTCCGACTAGGTGCAGGCAGACACGCTGAATTCCAACAGCTCTTTCCCAGAAAGGGCCCCAACTCCGAGTCAAGTGCCAAGCTTCAGTCTCCATGTGGCTTGTCTGGCAGAAGCCAGGACAGCACTCCACTGGGACAGCAGCCTATGAAACCTCCTTGGAGCTAAGCAGCTGTCTGGACCACATGCACAATGCTACTTCCACCAACCAAGGGTATGCAGGAGACCCACTCTTGACTTTTACCTTGGGCAGGTGCTTCATGACACACATCACAACTGGCTGCAAAGACGGCATCTTGACCAGAGAAAAGCTCTTCTCCAGAAGGTCTTCCAGCTTCTTGTACCTTGTACCAAGGGGATGACAAAAGCCGCCGAATCAGTAACTAGGCTGCAAAGTGGGCTGCACATCTCATCTGCCCACCTTGGCAAGCGGAGACCTACCTTTCCTCAGCCTTCCCCTCCGAGGCAATGGCTGACACTCGCTCCAACAGTTTGTCCCGCAGCTCATCAAACACCGACTGGTGGAACTCCAGCCGCGGCGTCCCGTGTAGGTCCAAGAAGGGCAGGGCCGACTGCAGGGAGGGCAGCAGCACGCCATTCTCTGTCTGAGGAAGAAGTGAGTGCGGATAGATCTGGCTGACTGGGGCGACAACAGAAGCTGCAACCGCAGCCAAGTCTGCCCATGCACCCCAGATGCCCCGAGTCCACAAAGAAACGTGTCCACGGAGGTTCGCAGCAGCGGTGGCGGCAACCGCAAAAATGGGAAACCACCCCTTCCTCCAGCAACGAGGTCCCAGCTCAGGACATTCCGGTACTCCAGCCGGTGGAACAGAACGCAGCTACGAGAAGAAAGCCAGAAACTCCCAACTTCCCAAGCGCCTCGCCCGCTGGCCGGACTCCCGCCGCCCCGGGCAGCCTCCTGGGCCCGGCGCCCGCGGCCCCGCCTCACCTGGAACTGCTCGATGGCCTTAAGCGGTTCGGTGCAGTTGGTCAGGGTCTCCTTCAGGTCCTCGCCGTTGGCCACGCCCAGGTCCTGCAGCCCCGCGAACATGGCCGAGGCCCCGGCCGCCGCCCGGCTCGGCGCCCCATCCCCGCCCCGTTCCCCCGGCGCCGCCGCTGACGCTGCAGGCGCCCCAGAAGTCCGCTCCCCCGGGCCTCGCGGGCCGGCCGGGCCCCGCTCCCCCGCGCCCTCCAGCTCGGCCAGGTCCCGCCCGCAGCTCCGCTCTGCACAGGTCGCGCAGCCGCCCACTTCCGCTCCGCACAGCCCCGGTCCGCCCGCCAAACCCGCCCCGGGAAACGCTGCGGCGGCCGCGTGCGGGTTCCTGGGAGCGGCGCCCTCACCTGGCGCGAGGCTGAGCTACGACACTGCGCGAGGGGCGGCTCCCGGACGACGCGCGGGCTGCCACGGAGCCCCGCCCACCCGGCGCAGTCCCGCCCACGCCGCCCGTCAATCCGAGGCCCGCCAGCTCCCCTCCCCCGCCGCTGGCTCCGCCCAGCCGGCTGTGCCTTCCGGCCCCGCATGCGCGCCGCGGGGCGGGCTGGTCGCTCCGCTCGGAGCCGGGGCTGGGGGCAGGGGGCAGGGGGCAGGCGGGGCCGCAGGCTGTCCATGCCCCGGAGCGGGAAGACAGGGCTGGGCCTGTGCCGGGGCGCCCGTCGGGGTCGGCCGGCTTTATAAATTTAAGGACTGACATTTTGGTCGAGTAAATTTTATTTTCGTAATCACGGAAAACGCTGTTGTTAGTATTTTGCCTGAGGAAATGGAGCAGTGCCGCCCTGGAAGCCCCTGCACCCAGATCCCGCCACGTGCACGACGCGCACACTCCCTGGAGCTGGGCTTCCTCCGCGTAGGGTTGTTGCAAAGACTGACATCCAGTGTGCCTCCAGCGGCACGTGAGGATCTGACAGCCAGGCCCACCCCAGGTACTGGACCCTCAGGCTGAGTCTATCGAGCTGTGAATGACAGTCCCTTGCCCTTAAGGTGCAAGAAGCTCATTCCAGGCAGGTGGGCTCTCGTTGCTACCTGTGCAAGCTCCTGGACCCAGCATTCAGCCCTGCAGCCTCCACACCAGCCCTGCGTCCTCTCCCAGCCTCTGCCACACCAAACACCACTCCCTCTCCCTTTTCATGTGCCTTCGCTGCTGAGGTTTGCTCTGCTAATAACTTCTTTCCTGCTAGTCAGGAACTCTTGCTCATCCTTGAAGGACCCTTCCTCCACCACCTCCTCCAGGAAGTCCTCCCTCCTCAACCCAGATGGAGGAGCTTGCTCCCTCCTTCCTGCTACTCTCACTCCCAGCTTTGGATCCCAGGGGTGCCTGGTGGTGCAGCCACAAGCAGGGCTCCTGTTCCCGCCACCTGGGACTGAGTTCCCAAGGCCAGGGCTACCACAGCTCTACTGGTATTGATGCTGGCAGAGCTGGTCAACCAAGGACCCTTCATGAAGGTCCTACTGCCCTGATTCAACACCCAGCTGATTCCCCAAGCCTTGGCTTCCTCTGCAACAGAGGGAGATGCTGACACCATGGCACCAGCAGCTGCAGAAACTTTTTGAAGACGTTGAACTCTGGGCCTGGCCCAGGGCTTGGATTGGGGGAGAGTGAGAACACTGGCGCTGCAGGGAGGGCAGCTGGGGAAACTGGTGCAGCCACAGGAGCGACCACTAGCTGCAGGTGAGGCTCCTGGAGGTAGCAGTCTTGGGTCCCCAGCCCAGGTAGGAGGGCAGGCCAAAGGTGATGAGGGGACCAGCAGTCCCGCTGCTGCTGCTGCTGCAGGCCTAACAGGCCAAGGCCAAGGGAGTCCACTTCCTGTGGCTTGGCCTACACAGCCCTGGGTCAGAGTTCTCAGAGCACCAGTGACTAAGCCACTGGATCTTCAGGTCAAGGCCTGGGGGAAGTGGGCCCAGGTCCTGAAGAGCTGGTCCTCTCAGCCTTCCCTGGAAGCTGGGCAGGCAGCTGAGGGAATCTGGCCCCCACCTCCATCCCAGCAGTCAGTTCTTTGGCTCAGCAAGAAGACTGACTCTCAGGTAGACTGGCAGCTGGACCAGTCCCCTGGGTGGCATGGCTGGGTAGGGGTGTCCTGCACTGCCCACATGGCCCCCTTCTCACGCTGTATGAGGCCAGGGAGCTCAGGGTCAGCCCAGGCTGCCACCCCAACCCCCCTAGAAGAGCGCACCCACGAGGGACAGCTGAATGGAGATCC